AATACAGGGAAAAGAACTTTGAAGGGAAAGAACAGTCATTTTCATTTCACAAACACATATACCTACTGTCTCTCTCACAGGTCAGCGTATGTGTGGCTGTGATTGTCTATACTCTCCTCCGGGGTGGAGAGGGGGTAGTGTAGTGGCCCCCAATGCCATGTGAAATGGGTGGGTAGGTGTGTAGAGAGGTCCCGGAATGCAGTTTTCTATGGGCTGCAGAGGGAGCAACAAGAGTCTCCAGCACGTCTGTTTGCTACTTGAGATGTGCTAGCAACTCCGGCTGCTGCATGTGTCTCTCCTTTTCCTGAGCTTTTCTCCTCTCCACTCTATCCCTATCCATTCTGTCTCTGAAGGTGATCCTCCAAGCCCTGTGTTCGGTATCCAAAGCATGAGAGGCTTGCAGGATCTCTTAGAACATGGCATCCCACATTCACTTTGTTCTCCTTCTTATCTAGCTGAACCGCTCCGCACATGTGGATGGAGACTCTCAAAGCCACATTTCCAGGTGCAAAAGATACAACGCACAGAGGTATTATTGTGAGTGTATTCACAAGATAAATGGAAACTTAGTATACCGAGCTCATTCCCCTTGATCCATACAAGTTGCAAGCACTACATTCTCACTTCTCCTTGGGATTCATAGAGCATGGCGGCAGTCCCAGACATGATAAGTACAGCCCACGGAGAGGGGGTAAGTTGGGACATTCGGAGATGGGACAGCTCACAGATATGAGTATATGCGGATAGGGCAATTGAACTGAATACTGGCACCGTTTCCCACAGGTGGTAGTGATTTTAGCTGATATCTCACTCATGAAGGTAACAGAGGCTGAATGGGAACATCTCCTGCATGCTTCCTGACTGGGGCTGTATGTTGCTAGCTGCATGCTGGAATGGCGCCTGCTGAAGTAATTGCTGAGTAGCATGGGTAAGTGTCCTACCGCGGTGGAAGAAATAAGGCAGCCATCGCCAGAAACCTTCGGAAGAGGATTTCAGACTTCCTCCAGGAAAGTTTCCTCAAGATCGCAATGGAGGATTCACAGGACATCACAGTGCACATAAATACATTGTTTGGCAGAGCCCCCTCTGCCTAATTGTACAGGGGAGTGAGAAGCAGATAACAACTCTGCCTCTCTTTGTTATTTCACTACCCCTTCTAGAATGATTAATAAAGAATAAATGAACAGAGGTGTCCCTGCAATATCAAAGCAAACTGCATACTTACCAGAGGTTCCTTCCCCCTGCATCAGGCTTGCCTGTGCTGAATTGTAGGCACTGGCTCAATTACTCTTGCGTCAAAAACAAGTCCTCGCTCACTGTGCCACTGGATCCCTCAGTGGCCTGTCCCCCATATTCCTCCTGCAGGGACCAGTGATTCTGGCTCCTCTGAAGTGTCCACATGGTGGTGGTGGGGTCTCCACTGAGGATGGTGTGCAATGCTTTGTAAAAGTGGCATGTCTGCGGCTCTGCACCAGAGTGACTGTTAGCTTCACTTGCCTTCTGGTACACCTTCCGCAGCTCCTTGGATTTCACGCGGCACAGCTGCAGGTCCCTCTTTTAGCCCCTTCTTTCTCCTACATGCCCCAAGCAATCTGCTGTGATATCAACATTTTTACGGTTGGATCAGAGCTGCGCCTGCACAGCCTTTCCCCCCCATAGATGCAGGAGATCCACCACCTACTGTATACTGCAGGGAGAAGCATGTCTGCAGAATGGAGCCAGCATGGTCAGGTGGGCAGTTGTTAGGTAAGCTCTCCACGCCAAGGAAACAGGAAATGAAATTTCAAAAATTTGCTTTAGAGGGGAAGGGCATATACCTATGTACCTGGCTACCAGGCAGCGGAGTTCAAAACGGCGACTAGAGTGGTCATAGTGGGGCATTGTGGGACACCTCCTGGAGGCCACTAAAGTTGACATAAGTAATGCAGTGTTTTCAGTGACATTGCGGCGACCTAACTATATTGACCTAAGTGCTACATCTCTCATGGAGGTGGAGTTATTAAGTTGGCATAGTGGGTGAGTTACATTGGTGGGAGCAACATTTTAGTGTAGATGCTTACAGAGTTAGGTCAATGTAAGCTGCCTTGTGTTCACCTAACTCTGTAGACCAGACCTCTGAGGTGGTCTGTTTTGAACTCAACTCCCTCAGCAGCAGGAACTCTGGCAGGAGGAATTTATCTCTGACATTTCTAGTGGGGGAGACCCCAAATAGTCTCAAAGCTGCAGTAAACAGTGCTCTGCATTGTATCCAGAAATTAACACTAACCACACACTAATTTAGAGAGGAATAGATGTCAAATGTCAGGGGAACAATTGGTGGTTCTCTTCCAAGCTCCGCCACAAAATAAGATCCACCCATTCATGACACCACAGGGAGACATTGCTCACAGTAGATTCGGCAAGAGTTCAACATATGATTGTGTATACTGTCTGAGCTTCATTGAGCTCCTTGAGTTTGGCTCCCACTTGATGGGACTTGAATATGCTCATGAGGTCTGCTGTGCTCTTTGGGTTTGGCTCCTTCTTGACGGAGGGACAAAAATACATGGTGGTAACTTCCAAGCACCCCCCCACACACCACCCTGACTTGTGGCACCACAGTGAGTGTTCATTCACAGTAAATGATGCACATCTGTGATTCACCCTTTTTTTTCTTACGTGAGAATGAAACAGTTAACAATGTGGAAAACCTTAGGAACATCCAGGCTTGTAGGGAAAATTTAAGTCAATATTTATGTTCTGCTGTTATAATTAGGGTTTAAATTTGACTTTATACAGTATGTACAGATTTTGTTTGGAGCAGAGTAGGAATGCTACCTGTTTAAGCCTCCTTAAAAATTAAGTTTTATGGACCTGATTTTCAGCCCAATTCTCCCTTTTGTGCCCTCACTTTTGCAGATGCAAGTAATGGTGGATGCAGTTGTGATTCCACAATCAATTGTATGTGCATCATTGTCATTTTGATGCCTTACTGCTGGGGTGAACATGCACCAGGAAGTTAGGCATCCTACTGATATTGATTGTGCCATATAAAATGAAGACACATTTTTGTCTTCTTAGACTGTAAACTTTATGGGGCAGGGACCATACCTTGGTATGCGTTTGTACACCATGTAGCACAATAGGGCTCTGATCTTGACTGGGGCCTCTGGACTCTTTTGCAAAATAAATAATATATTTAAAAAATAAGGTAAAGTGCTGTTTGACCAAATTGCCCAGCACTTGTTTCAAGGACAGTATATCACTATTTGCGATGTGATAAATTAAAAGGTGCAATTAATTAATTTGCATACAGGACTTTGAAGTTGCAGACTGCAAATTGCAAACTGATTATCATGGGGCAAGTAAGCAGATAAATTGGTCCAATGGCCTATTGAGATCTTGGCTGACTCTTGCAAGGCACTGAGATGTTGTGTTGATGGGTGCTGTTGTAAGGACCTAGATAGACACAGTTATTATGATTGCAGAGCGCATGTGGTAGTGCGAGAGAAAGACTGATTCAGCAAAATGCAGTGAGTTTATACAGCACAGTCTAGTGTAGTGTGCAGTATTCAGCGTAGGATAGGATGCAGACTACATATGCAAGTGCTGTCTCAGGTATCGTTCAGGGTGCAAAGTGCAGAAATGGTTGCATTACAAAGGGCACCAAAAGTGCAAAAGCCAGTACTTTTGAATTGCAGCCGGGACAATGATTGGAGGGTGCCATCTGCAGTGTTATTAACTGCATCTGAACCCATTATAAATCAAGCTGTAAAATAATCAGTTAGCTCTGATAACAGAGCCAGGCCTTGTGTGAACCTAGTCACCAAACCCACTGCACCATGCCACTCCAAGTAGGAAAGCCACTAGACTCAGTCTGTGCATGCCTAGAGGTGAATTAAGATTCATTAGGACCCTGGACACAAAGAACATTTGGGCCCCCCGCTTGCCGTGGGGCCAGGCCCCCTGCTCCTCCTCTCCCGAGGCCCTGGCCAGGCCAGAAGCCAGAGCTGGGCGGTAGTAAGTGCCGCCCAGGGACCCAAGCCACTGTGGGCAGAGCCAGGGACAAGCTGATTTCAGTTTGAGCAGCCTATTTTGGTTGAATTTCAACTTGTTCCCAGGCCAATTTAAACTAAATGGAAAAAGCCACTCTCAGAAGATGTTTTCACTGCAAAAAAGTTGTGGCTTTACATAGATGTGGTGAATTCGAGATTGCTATCTCAATGTAAAATCCTAGTGGAAACAAACCACTGTAGTTTATACCTCAGCTTAGTTAGTCGAGGTCATCCCTATATCCACCAACTGGGGTTTAGCCCTACTAGCTACATTAAGGTCAGAACTACCCGTACCTTCCCTCCACTCAATTTTATATCACAGCAGTGATCCTGGTATCAAAACACACCATTTCTGCAGTGAACACATAGCCTTTAACTGAAATCAGAGCAGCCACACTGGGGTTTACACTAGTTTAACTACATCAGTTTAAATCCACCCCTTCAGTTAAACCAGGGCCACTTTTACATGCAGACAGCCTCCATGCTTATTAGATCACCTTACATTTGATGCCATCAAAGAACAGCAATTTATTGACAAGGCAACAAATACAGAGTAAGGGCTACCATGGGGCCAAGGTGATGGTGAGGCAAATATTAAAAAAAAACCAACCCATGAGCTAGAAGTAATCGAGATCAGAGGTTCTTCCATAGGCTGTCGCTTATGAAGATCTCATCTCTCCATCACAGGGCATCTCCTGTTGCCTTCTCCCCTTGCACCACTTTTATACCAGTGTGACTCCCTGGACTAGCAGCGGAGCTGGGCTGCAGCCCGAAGCCCCGCGGCCGGGAGACGCAGCACGCGGCCGAAGCCTGGGCGAAGGCCCTGGGGTGAGCCCGAGGCTAGAGCCCGCCGCCGCGCGCTGGGGGCCCGAGCCCGGATCCCGCAGCTCCGCGGCAGCTCCAGCGGGCAGGGTCGGGGCTGGGCCTGGGCCGGCCTGGGGGCGAGGCTGGCGCGTGCGTGGGCGGGGCCCGGTAGCGCAGCGGCACGTGGTGGGGCTGGGCGCACGCGGGAAGGAAGTGACCCTGCCTCCGGCCTGGCTAACGGTCGCGGCGCTGCGTGGGCCCTGCCCTGTCCGCCGGCCCGGGGCGAGGAGAGACGCTGTGAGCAGAGGGCCGGGCGCTGGGCCCCTTTGGGGGGGGCAGCATGGTGACCAGGGCTTCGGGCCCACTGTAGGGCCGAGGGAGCCCTGCCCAAGGCTGGGGGATGCGGCTGGGGCCTTGGGGTCGGTGCTCCATGACTCAGTTTCCCCACAGGCTGCTGGGAAGTGGGGCTCTGGGGGAGGAAGTAGGCACCGCACCTCCTTAAAAGCTTAGCGCTCCTGAGTGGCACCAACAGACCGTGAACCAGGGACATGGTTATTCCCATTGGACAGTCCGGAAACTGAGGCCCATGGGCGAGGCTGGGATTTCCCAGGGGCCTAAAGGCGTTAGGGATGCTTCTCCCATTGAAAATCATGAGGAGGCCTGTGCGTCTCTTAGGGCTTACTTGGCAGTTATTCTGGTGCCAGGAGGGGGGTGGATTTAAAGCTCTTTGGCTATTACAGAGTAACTGCCTATGTGGATTCCAGAATAAAAGGGCCTCTTGTCAAGTCCCTTAATCCAGAAGTGGATTAAGGTAAATTGGGAAAAGGCACTCTTATTCCAGAATAAGAGCCTCCATATGGGGCACTATGGCAGAATGCTTTATTCTGTGATAGCTAGGATGACCAGATGTCCCAATTTTATAGGGAGAGTCCTGATTTTGCGGTCTTTTTCTTATAAAGGCTTCTATTGCCCCTCACCCCCATCCTGATTTTTCACACTTGCTGTCTGGTCACCGTAATGATAGCTGTCTTGGTCAGTTTTCCCCAGAGATAAACTCTTAGGCCCTTCTGAAAAATCCCAGTTTAGGTGATTTGCCTAAAGAGTTACAGCGAGCTAATTGCAAAGGTGGTAATAGAACACAGAGCTGTCTCCCATTTGTATGCTTTGCCCCAGAAACCAGCCTCTTCCCCTCAGTGCTGTTGCCAAATCTAAAGAACACTGTTTAGATTTTAGACTAGCATTGTCTATTTCCTACTGATGGAAAGGTTGTTTCTGGTTTTGCCACTGACTTCCTGTGTAAACTTGGTCAAGTTTGTTTTCCTGTTATTCCTTTCCAATCTATAAAATAGTGATTTACTTTTATCTCTTGGTGTTGTGAGACTTCATTCTTTAGCGTTTCAGGGCTTCCTGAGCGTCTGATGAAAGATGCTCTAGAACAGGGGTAATCAATTATCTTTTTGTCAAGATCTAAATTTCTTAGTCAAGGTTTAGACTCTAGATAAAATAAGATTTTGCAGTCCATCCAAAAGCATCTGGTGGTCTGGATTTGGCCTGTGGTCCACCTATTGATTACACCTGCTCTAGAAGTACAAAGTTTTATGGTTAAAATCAACTGAATGATTTCCTTGAGTGTGCTCTACTTAGGTTAAATTGAGGTGTTGTAATCTATTCAGTGCATGTTAAGCCAGGCAGTTTTATTTAGGGTGCTGGATGTTAATGCTTAGCAGGAGGATTATTTTGCTTATATCATTCTTGTTGGAGATGCATGAAGCTGTAGAAACCATTGGGCTAAGTAAGAGAAACAGCTTTTCAGGAATTGTCAGTAATATAACTAGATCAAATATTTGAATTGTGTATAATATGTTTGCTTCAGTCAACCACACAACTTGTTATTTATAACATCTCACCTTGATATGTGAGTTTAGTGATACATTATGTAGTGTATAGAAGCAGGGGTCTGTAATTATCTAATAATTTTTTTTATATGCCAAGTTTCTTAATCTAAGATGCAGTACTTTATCCTCATTAAATTCTTGGCAAGGTAGAAGTCTTAAAAATACGTGTTTGATTTAAAATCAAACAAGTGTCTGAGTAACTTTCAAAGTGAAAAACACATTAACATAACTATGGCCATTCATTGCTCTTCAGAACTTTCCAGAACAGTTCACTTTTGATCTGAGTCCAAATATGGAAAACTTTTTCTCCAAGGATTTCTAACAGGTACTTTACAAAGTGCTAGCTCTAGCAATAACTATAACTTCTCTGTAAATACAGTAATTTATTTACAAAATAAGGTCCTTGAAATTTGTAGTTTTTCTGCATCTATGGAAACTTTGTCACTGTCTGTGATCCTTTTTGATAACAAAATTCAACTGCCACGCTAAGGGGCTGGGTTTGTGAGGTGATAAGGAGAGAATTTTTATTCTTACATTTTTCATGAGTTAATTGGCTATTTCTCAGACTACTTCAACTCAACATTGCATAATTGCAGCACTTTTTGAAACTTAAGTTGAAGGCTGTATTAAGAGGGACAAGAATGAATAATCTTGCATGTATTTATCAATGTTCTGGAGCTTCCGTCGAGGCTTTTGACAAGTTCTGAGTCTCATTACACTGTATACTTGAGGGATAAAATTATGTTGGTTTGTTAGGATTCCATTGAGCTCAGTTTGCTGCTCACTTTGGGTAATAGGTTTAGTTTTACTTCTGTACAAGAAGGGTGAGTAAAATAGTGCAGGCAGTTTGCTTCTTACAGAGACAAGGAGTTTTCAGTAGCTGCTGCTCAGAAACTACTTATTTGAAGACCTAATTACAGTATGCACTGTATGTAGCATGTCTTGGTAGTTGATTGTATATAGCCTGAGAAACAGTACATGGCTTTCTTGCAAATTTATTTCCAACTAGCAAATTCTTTAACATATACAATAATGCAGTACTGCATTGTACTTTAACTTCTGGAACCCCAGGCCAGGTGTATTTTACAAAGTTTGGTCAATATAAGTTCTGTTGGCGAAAAGCCGCCACAGTTAGTACATCACGTGTGTGTGTGTTCATACCTGGCTCCTTGCATCAGCACTGTGTGTACTCACCAGGAGTGCTTGTGTTGATGCGCAGTGTACTATGGTTAGGTATCGCACTGTGCCACTTGCCTCCATCCAGCACACTGTCTTTTGGAAAATTTTGACAATGCATGGTGGGGTAGAAATGAGTCATGCAGGGGTGACTGGGAGCAAGGGGTCAAGTTCCCATTATGCAGTTTTCTTTATCCCATAATACTATCCACATCCCATACATTTTGTATCTTTAAAAAAAATTCTGTAAATCCATGTGGCACTATTTGCTGTCTGCCATCTCTGATAGAAGCATGGAGCCCTCACAGTTATGCGCTATTGTGTTTGCAACACACATGACAGGATCCTCCAGTATTTGCAGAGCCACGGGAAGAACCATGGCAATGGGGAGACATGATCATTTCAATGAGGACAATTTGCTGTGGGACATAGCAAAAACTAATTCAAGGTGGTTGGTGGCATTCACGGAGCAGCTGCAGATGGTTGAACACCACTCCTGGGCAGAAGAAATGAGCACTGACCAGTGGGATTGGATCATAATGCAGGTTTGGGATGACAAGCAGTGGCTCATCCTCTGTCTCTGTGCTGATCTCGCCTCCAACTCATGGACACCGGAAAAAGAGCTGGAAGCAGCTGAGAAGCAGTTGGCGATTGGACTGTGAAGGCTTGTAATGCCAGATTCCCACCAGTCAGTGGGCAATCATTTTGGAGTTTGAAAATCCACAGTGGGGGCTGTTAATAGACTTGTGTGGCACAGGAGTGTGGCTCTCGGTAATGTGCATGATCTAATGAATGGATTTTCTGCAATGAGGTTCCCAAACTTCATTGGGGTGATAGAAGGCACGCATATTCCTATTTTGGCTCCAGCCCACCTTGCCACAGAGTACATCAATAGAAAGAGCTACTTTTGTCTGGTTATGCAAGTGTTAGTGGATCACCACCAACGGACATCAATGTTGGCTGGTCAAGGAAGGTGCGTGACACAAACATCTTTAGAACATAGAACTGTTCAGAAAACTACAAGTAGGAACATTCTTTCCCTACCAACAGATTATCATTGGCCATGTTGAAATGCCAGTACTGATCCTGGGAGACCCAGCTTACCCCTTGCTTCACTGGTTCATGAAGCCATACGCCGGCCATCTTGACAGCACCATGGAAAGAGTCAACTACCATCTCAGCAGAAGCAGAATGACAGTTGAATGTGCATTCGGTAGATTGAAGTGATTCTGGTGTTTACTCACAAGATTGGATCTCAGCGAAAAGAATATCCCAATGATTATAGCTGCCTGTTGTGTCCTGCTTAATATCTGTGAGGCAAAGGGGTAGAAGTTGCTGCTTGGGTGGAGGGCAGAAGTGGAGCAGCTTTCTGATGAGTTTGAACAGCCAGGCACGAGTGCTATTAGAAGAGCACAACATAGACCTATGAGGTTGAGGGAGACCTTCAAAGAGCGCTTTAACTGTCAGCCACCATAATGTAGTGTGGTGAATTGTGCTTTACCTGGACATGAAGTTTTGGGGCCTGTTAGGAATTATGTGATGCTTGGTGTGCATTTATATGAATAATACAGTCAGTGCATCTGTTAATTATACAGTGCTTGCTGTACATTTATAATTATTACACTGTTTGTCACTGATCCTATGAGAGCCTTTTCCCCTGTACAATCACAAGTAGTGGGCGCTTTGAGTAGTGGTGGGCAGATATTTAAAAAAAAAAATTGTTTTGTATATCAACCACTTGAAACAAAAACTGATTAAACAAATGCAATGAAAACTTCTGAAATAAGTTCTGCTCTATTGTTTTAATAAGGGAAAAGAACATTCATCTCCATTTGTCTATTTTTGCTACACATCCAGCAACCGTGGCCAGTGTACGTGAAGCTGTGGCTGTTTGGACTGTCCCCTGGCATGGAGTGGTGGGGGTAGGAACGCAGCCTCTGATGTCACATGGAACATTGGGGGTCTAGGGAGGTGCTAAAATGGAGTTCTCCATTGACTACCGAGGGAGGCGAGCCCATGCTTGTTGAACTTGTAGGTCAGCAAGTGTCCGCAGTATTAGTGCTTGCTCCTGGAGAAGTCCCATTATGTCTGGGTGCATTTCCCTCTACTTTTCCTGCTGTGACTCCGGGGCCTTTCTGCTATCCGTTCTTTTCTTTCTTTCTCCATATTGTCAGCAGTATTCGCCCTCCAGGCCTTCTGTTCACAGTCCGATGCAGCACTGACCTGCAGGATCTTGTTGAGCTTATCCTTCCATGTTGTCTCCTTTCTTTTCCTCATTAGGGCCAGGTGTTCCACAGGTGAGGAGGGGACATCCCTCAAGGCTGCAACGGCAATAGCCACAGATAAAACACAAAGACTCGTCACTGTATTTAGTTAAAACAGAAGGTGAAAGTTAATCTTCAGAACTCATTCCCATAAAAGTTTTAAACAAGACATTCTTATTGACACTTCAGCTTTGGAGCACTTTGGCACAGCACCACCCTCTGGTCCCAGGCACAGTGAGTATGCCCTATGAGGGAAATAGGGGGGGAGGGAGAGGGAATTGTTTGATTGCCTGAAACAATAAAACTTTGGTCCTTGTTTCCATGTATGAATGCAGGGCAATGGCACTGAGTAGTGCCACTATTTTCCACAGGTGGTGATTTTTAGCTGATATTTCGCTCCTGGGGGTAACACAGGCACAGAGAGCACAGCTGCTGCTAGCATTCCAAAGCCTCCTGGGCCTGCATGCTGTTAGCCTGTTTAAAGCAATGGTGCCTACCAAAGTCATTGTGACTGGCACAGGAAAGTGTCCTATTGCAGAGGAAGAAATAAGACTGCCATCTCCAGAAATCTTCAGGAGAGGATTGCAGAGTAATCCATGGAAGTTTCATTGAGATCTCTCAGGAGGATTCAGGGGACATCCCTGTGTACATAAACATTTACACATCTCTTCTCTTCCCCCCCCCTGCCAATGTTGGACTGCTACCTCTTCTAGTACAAGTAAAACAATGAAAAGTAGATACCTTTGTCCTGCGAAGTTGGTGTCTGGCACCATCTGTACATTTAAGCATTGTAATGGAAAAGGTATTCACATATTTACTCAAGGTTCCTTCCTGTGCATCAGGCTCAGCTGGCGGGATTGGCTAAACTAGGGGTAGGCAACAAATGGCACGCATGCCAAAGGCGGCACGCGAGCTGATTTTCAGTGGCACTCACACTGCCTGGGTCCTGGCCACTGGTCCGGGGGGCTCTGCATTTTAATTTAATTTTAAATTAAGCTTCTTAAACATTTTAAAAATCTTATTTACTTTACATGCAACAATAGTTTAAAGAACAGGAGTACTTGTGGTACCTTAGAGACTAACAAATTTATGCTCAAATAAATTTGTTAGTCTCTAAGGTGCCACAAGTACTCCTGTTCTTTTTGCGGATACAGACTAACACGGCTGCTGAAACCTGTAACAATAGTTTAGTTATATATTATAGACTTAGACCTCCAAAACATTAAAATTTATTACTGGCACGCGAAACCTTAAATTAGAATGAGCAAATGAAGACTCGGCACACCACTTCTGAAAGGTTGCCGACCCCTGGGCTAGACTGTAGTGTAGTCTCAAACACGTCCTGGTTGGGACATAGCTGGATGCCTCCAATGCCACATTGCAGATCCCCCATCCTCCTCCTCCTGCTTGCTGTTAACGGCAGGTGTCTCCTTTGGGCTCCTCCGAGGTATTAGCAGTGCTGTGCAGGGTGCTGGTGGGGTCTCCGCTAAGTATGGCAAGTAGCTAGTTGTAAAAGCAAATTTGCGGCTAGGCACCAGATTAACTATTGGCCTTCCTGACCTTGTGGGATGCCTGCCACAGTTCCTTCATTTCCATGTGGTACTGTTGCTGATCCCTGTTGTTTCCCTTTGCCTGCCTCCCCTATTCAGTTTTTCATAGATGACCACATTTTTACAACTGCTCTGTAGTTATGCTTGCACAGCCGCTTTTCCTCAGGCCATAGTACCTCCAGACAGGAGTGTCTAGAATGTGTAAGTGGCATGACCAGTTGGGCAGTTGCACACAACAAGAGAGAGCTGCTAGCTGGGCTGTTGGGAAAAGGCATTTCAAAAATTAACATTTGAGGGGGCGGGTTCTGGTCTCCATGACCCCTGGGCAGTGGAGTTCACAGTTGTGACCAGAGCAGTCACTGTCGGGCATTGTGGGACAGCTGCTGGAGGCCTGTAAGGGTCGACATAAGTCATGCAGTGTCTACACTTGTTCTGTGTCAATCTCAGTATGTTGGCCATCGCTCAATGCCATTCAGGGAGGTGGTGTTACTGCATCACCGTAACAGGGTGCTTATGTCGTCTGGAGATAGTGTGTGTGTCTGCACTCAAATTTATCTATCGTGACTTATGTCAGCCTAACTTTCTAATGGAGACCAGTCCCAAATGCCAAAAAACTCATTGAAAAGCAGAGCCTGGTACAGTATACTCCCAAGATAATCCTTGCCAAATCGAAATTTGATTTTCTTCCTAATATTTCAACTTGTAATACTTCAGAACCCTTGCCTTCAGTTGCTTATCTCTAGTCCTTGAAGAACAGGGGACTATAACAATTAAGTGCTACATCTCCAGTTTTTCTCAGAATTATGCTGTTAGTATTAGCTTAACATAGACACCGGTTTACTACAAATATGGACAGCTCAATGAGAGACAGATCTATTTCCGTCCACCATCACTACCCCTTTGAGAGTTCTTTACTAACAAATTCTCGGTCAGGAATGACAAAAATGGTTGAAATTTTAAGGAAGAAACTTAATGCACCTTTCTTTTAGGATAATCATTTATACTTTATTTTCTTCATTAGTTTAATAAGCATCGTTAAAACTTTCCTTAAAATTAATCTATATTTAAGTATTTTAAAAGTCAGAGTTGAATGCTATATCCAGTTTAACACATGTTTCAACTACTTTTTTTTTCCTCTAGGTTTTTGTAATTACAAAATAGTAACTTTGTAGGATGTCAGGGAATGATTTGGGTGTGCATGTTTACAAGATAAACCAACGATTTCATATAAAGAGCAAGGAGACGAAAGCCCCAAATGAATCCTTAAGAAGCCCTCGCGCCTTCCCCAACTGCCGAGTGAAAAGCTCTGAGCTTGGAGGTAGAACTTCTGGATTATCCAACAAAAACTTCTTATTTTGTGAGCAAACTAAACAGTTCTTTACTAGTCGTGAGAATGGTTTAGGAGATGCTAGCTCTCATTGCAAGAGTGGAGTGGCAAATGACTTTAACAAGGAAGAGTTTGGATCAAAGATGAGCAAGGGAACGCTAACAGGTGAGAGAAAACCTCTTTTAAATAGGGTAAGCTATGTGAAGGCTTACCTTTTTGTAGCACTATACAACATGCCCATACATGTGGTGTGCAGGTGGGAGGGGAAAGACTAATTTAATAAACTTCCTCACTAATCTGAAATTCCAGTTTGATGAAGGTCATCAATCTGAATACAGTTTGAGTACATGGTAACGGGATAACATTAATTTGCCATACGCATGTGTATATGTAAAAATTATGCACAACAATTGTAAATGTATCTGACTAAGGAATAAAATTCATTAAAGGGAGACTATCAAATTGTAATCCAGTCACTTAAAAAAAAGTTAATAATTTCAGGGACCGCTTATGTCTTGAAACCTGGAGTTTCCCCTTGCTTGTGTAAGTCTTTCAAACAGCAACAAGCATACAGTACTCCTGGGACAATTCTGCACCACTGTGCAATTCAGAATTTGCATGGAATGTTCTGTGCAGAATTTTATTTTTCCCCTGCAAAATTGGCCCTGCAGAGCTGCTGGGGGCTTCTAGACCTGGCAGAGCAGTGAGGATGCAGGCAAAATCATTTGAGTGCTGATAGTCTTCCAGTGCTCTTCTTTCAGTCCCCTCTCCTCCCCCTCCCCTCCCCCCCCCCCCCCCCCCGCCCTCGCAAGGACAAACAGCTTCTCCCATAATTGAAAGCCCTAGGAAATAATTCTTGAGTGTCTCAACACACAGAACCATGGGATATGCCCCTCCTAGGCACATGGATAAGTGCAGAAATAGTGTGAAACAATAATGCAGGTATGGCTTTGCTATGGGGACATTCACATCCAGACTAGGCTAACCTGGATGTTCAGATCTGGGTGCCAATCACCTAGGTTAACTGTGCAGTAAAACTAGAAACAATTATTTTAGCTAATATTTCTATTCCCGTAATATTGTGTCTACTAATGGCAATTCAGAATGTTTATTTGGTCTCTCTTTAAATCTTGTGTTTGGGGTCATACTTTTTTAAAGTCACACCCATGGACTTAAGTGGTGTAAAATTTGTATTGATAAGGATGCATGATTTTGTTAATTACTCATCCAACGTCTTATATCAAGTGATAGACTGGTCTGGTTTTTATGACATGAGGATACTGTAGTTTCAGTGATGCCTTTGGTAAGAATGATTTGTGTCAAATTAACGTTAGTCAATTGTAAAACAAAAAGCTGTCGCACTTGTGTTTTCATATTCCTTGCTCTTAATTTGTAGAAATGGAAGATCTTCAGTTTTCTTAGACAAAATATTCTTTGAAAATTTCTCATGCTTTTTGTAAACAATCTGTTAATACTACTCCTGTCTTTGGTTTTATGAAATCAGACCATTTTGTAAACAATTCTTTGTTTTTAGGAAACTCAGTGGAAAGCATAAGTGGTAGAAGTAGTTTGCTGTTAACACCTTCAACTAAGGAAGAAAATGCTGTAAGTTGGGGTTTTGTGCAAAATTGGTAGCTTGTATAATGCTAACAAATGATCACCATATACTTTATGCCTTTCTAGAATATTTACATTTGTGTTTATTTTTGCTTCCTTTTTTTCCTGTTGGCATCACATTTCAGTTTACAATTAACCATTTGTTTTGTTGTTTGCAGATGCAATATTGCTTACAAGTGACCTTATTTGTGTACTTTATAAAATATAAACTTAAACTGCACATTTAACTTATTTTTAAACATAAACGCCCAGTAGCTCAGCAAAATTTTCACTGTTATTTACAGGTAGTCTATAAACTGCCAAGTAAATATCAGAAAAAATATTAAGTGTTTTAATGAGAAGGTACCGATGGCTCAAATTTAATAATTGGCATTGGATCGGTGATTTGCTAACAGTATCAGAGATACAGTGCGCTGGTCAAAATTAAAGACATAATTTGAGAGATGCACTTAATCTCCCTCCCCATCCATATTTATCTTATAACAGGGGTTGGCAAAGTTTCAGAAGTGGTGTGCCGAGTCTTCATTTATTCACTCTAATTTAAGGTTTCGCGTGCCAGTAATACATTTTAACGTCTTTAGAAGGTCTCTTTCTATAAATCTATAATATGTAACTAAACTATTGTTGTATGGAAAGTAAATAAGGTTTTTAAAATGTTTAAAAAGCTTCATTTAAAATTAAATTAAAATGCAGAGCCCCCTGGACCCAGGCAGTGTGAGTGCCACTGAAAATCAGCTCGTGTGCCGCCTTCGGCACGCGTGCCATAGGTTGCCTACCACTGTCTTATAATGTAGCTTCTCCAATATTCCTCTGAAAATCACTGACTTGACAAAGATGGAAATTTAAAAGACCCTTGTTTTGTTAAAGGCCATCTGTCCTCCACTAAGCCAATAAATTGCCTTCTTCACTGGATAGTGGTCTAGAAAGATCCTGGATCAAATGTAATCTTTGAATCTGTAAGACTGATGTGAGTCCTAAAGTGATGTTCATATGCTCACAGAGGTCATAAATGTTAAGTTTTTGGGGTGCATGAAATGTAGGGAAACTGAATGACCCAGTTCCTCTATCCTGTTTTCTCTCTAGGTTGCTGGTACAAACTTAATCCAGGTGAGTAAAAAATTAACATTTGGCCATTCAGTCAGATGAATATTGTATTCATATGAAATAAAGTGTAGAAAATTTGAAAAAAAAAACCTAGACAAACGTTAGAGAAGTTTGTGATATACCTACTTTTAAATGTACATGTCTGTTGTAAATTCCTTCTTTCTGGGCTAGTTATGTTATATTTCTCGTTTCTATTCTAATAATTTTTCAAAATTGTCCTCTGTTTGTAGGTCTCATAATGGGTTTTCTTTTTCTTTTTTTTCTGGCTGTTGTCTTCTCCCTATATATAAAATCTTCTCTCTCCATAGTCACTGGCACACTGAACAAACAGCCTTCCCTAACTTATTGACAAATACCAATTTGCTAATAGCATTTTCTCAATAAGATTTTTTAAATGTCTTTATTCGATTTAGCTTAATTTGGTTCTTCACTGATCTGAGTGTTCACACTAGGGTTTGCACTGATTTAAGTTAAACTGCTGCTAACCTGATTTAGTTACATTGGTGAAAAAACTGTATGTAGGCCAGCCTTCATGCTACAGTGAGGTAAGGTCTTTAATTTTAAATGTCTAAGGCCTGGTCTACACTAACCCCCCAATTTGAACTAAGGTACGCAACTTCAGCTATGTGAATAACGTAGCTGAAGTCAACGTGCCTTAGTTTGAACTTACCGCGGTCCAGACGCGGCAGGCAGGCTCCCCCGTCGACTCCGCGTACTCCTCATGCCGAGCAGGATTACCGGAGTCGACGGGGAACACTTCTGGGTTCGATTTATCGCGTCCAGACAAGACGCGATAAACCGAACCCAGAAGTTCGATTGTCTGCCGCCGAACCAGCGCGTAAGTATAGACAAGCCCTAAAATCTGTTTGAGGCCCGCACATGTGAGACCTGAAACTGACATTTTTTCATAACTAATGCTGTGTATCTTTTTAGGTTAAAAAAAAAAAAAAGTTACTAAATAGCATATGAAGGCTGTGTCTACAATAGCACTTTTCTCGCAAAACTTTTGTCGGTCGGGCTGTGAAAAAAAACACATCCCTGGCCAACATAAGTTTCACTGACAGAAGTACTAGTGAGGACAGCATTATGTCGGCAGGAGATGCTCTCCTGCCAACCTACCTACCACCGCTTCTTGGGGATGGTTTAATTATGCTGATGGGAGACAGCTCTCCTGTCGGCATAGAGCGGCTACACGGGAGAACTGCTGCAGCTGCACCACTGTAAGTACAGCTGTGCTGCTGTAAGATCTGTGGTGTAGACATAGCTGAAATCACCTACTCCTTTACTCTGTCGTAATAGTGATAGTAGCTGGCAAAGATGCAGTTTCAGAACTTCTTTGCTTTTGCATGACCTTTATTGTTTCCTTAGATAACAATTCAAACCAAAATATAATTAGGTGTAAGAATCAAATGTAAAATAATTTGCTGATGCATTATTCATTAAATGGTCTAATTACAGAATTGTAAATAAAACTAGTAGCTTTATCTGCAGTTATTTGTAAAGAAAGTAGTATGTGCTTTGGAATTTTGAGAACTTTTAACTTTTCTATACTAGGGTAAGCAGTTCTAGAATTGTAGGTATTCTGTATTGGAATATTACTGCTTTAGGGCTTTGAGTTCCTGTTTAAAAAATATTATTTGAGATTTGTGTTCTCTTACAGAGCTCCAATTCTGACTTGCTTCACACAAAGCAGAAAAAGATACAGAATTCCCCTGAGAATATTTTATCTATAAGCTACAATTCAAAACTATTTAATTCATTAAGGCCGACCCCTCGGATGACTACTTGCCATCATTGTGGTCTGTATGGTAAGCCTTTATTACTATCCCTAAGGCCTGCACACACAGTATTCAAGTTGGACTAGGCTTTCAAATATATATGTGCAAAAGGCTCTTATAAACATGTAGATATTAAGCCCAGACTTTCACTTTGAAAGAAATTGATATTTTAAATTGGCATAGTAATTCTGTAAAACATAAATAGCAAGCATCAGACAAAAACTATTAATCAGGCAAATCAATCAATGAATCCATGCTTTGAAAAATCCACAGTGACACCACACAGATGAAAAAATAAATGCTTAAGTGAAAAATTAATGAAGTACAGACTGGCCTTCTAAAACAAAAAGATAATGGTATATTAAGTTAATCATAAATGTGTATTCTATAACTTGACAGCTCTTTTTGAGAGAATGAAGGTGGATGAGAAAATATTTTATTGGACCAACTTGTGTAGATGAAAGTGACAGGCTTTCAAGGCTCGAAAGCCTGTCCCTTTCACCAACACAAGTTGGTCCAATAAAAGATATTACCTCACCTATCTTGTCCCTCTCATATTCTGGGTCCAACACAGATACAGCACTGCAAAAAACTTTTTTTTGTTCAGATTGTGCCTCTTCCCTTCTTTAGGTTAGGCACAGTACTGACTTTTTGTTGTTGTTAATTTTAGGAGACCTGAGATGTTCTCAGTGTAAACAGACATATTATTGCTCTCCAGACTGCCAGAAGAAAGATTGGTGTGCACATGGTATTGTATGCAAGCCAATTAAACAAAAGTAAGTTTAGGGTGTTAAAGCAATATCTTGTAACTCAGAGAATCTTAAAAATAGGCAAGTAAGAATTATTCGTGATTTAATTCCAAGTTTTCTTTTACTATAATTCAAATACCTTTAGATGATCTATGTTGCTTGGTCTTATACTGAAAGATATTCCACATCATTGTAAATCTGAACATCATAAGAAAATGAAGCAGGAGAGGGCCGGAAATTAAAAAAACAAACAAACAAACAAAAAAAACCCTCAAAGGTGACTGAAAATGACCTCTTACAGATTTATACTGTCCCCGAATGGCTAAATATAAAATTTGCAGAGTTTACAAGTGGAAAACATCTCTCTTGTAAGTTACAGCACTGCAAATGAATTTGGGGTGGGAAAAGTCAAGCTGAATTTTTTTTTTCTGCCTCTTGTTACCTGACTATATAATAATATAATAGGATATCTCCATTTATTATATCTCCTAGAACTGGCAGGGACCTTGAAAGGTCATAGAGTCCAGCCCCCTGCCTTCACTAGCAGGACCAAGTACTGATTTTGCCCCAGATCCCCAAGTGGCCCCCTCAAGGATTGAACTCACAACCCTGGGTTTAGCAGGCCAATGCTCAAACCACTGAGCTATCCCTCTCCCCCGTAATAAAGATTTTTGCAGCCAGAGCCTACCTGTCACTGTGGTGCTACCTCTATTTGCAGCTGCTACATAGTGTTAAAAGAAATTCAAAGCTATTACATGCTTGCTTTATGCTACTCTTCCACATGTACAATAACTGTGGTTACATGGAATGAAATCCTGTTCTATTGAAGTCAATGAGAATTTTGCCATTGACTTCAGTAGGGACAGAATTTCATCCAAGAATGATGTTTGCTCTCTAGTGAGAGAGGAGGGGTTCCATGGATACAAACATTTGCCCTTTACCTTGGGATTCAGTCAAAGTAAAGAACAAACATTTGTACCCTGGAACAGACCTTTGGTGAGCATCCACACTAACCTTTACAAACCTGTTAATTGCCAATTAACTTGAGGTCAAGTCTAAATTCTCATTTAGTGTTTAAGGTTTTTGTCACAACCATAACTAGAGACTTAAAGAAGAAAAAGAGCTGAGATTCTGGAGAAGACAAGTTTCATAGAGGAGTTGGTACCCCACATTGCTGCTTTTCAGCGTAGTCTAAGAACTTTTTGGCCTAGATTGTTTGTTTAAGTTTATGTCCTTTCTGTAATAATTAACAGTGAAGTTGCATTAATTTTCATGTCAAGAAAGTTAAAATAAAATCTTAATTATCAGAAATTTTTTTTTAAAATGTATCACTACAAAAAGTGAGACACACCTCAGCATGCGTGTATATTAAATGTACATTTAAAACCTCCCCCAGTTGTCTTCAGATGCAAGAACTGTTACTGCTAGATACCAGCTGTGCAGTATGGTTTAAAAAAATAAAATAAGCTGGCCTTTACATTACTTTATTAAGCAGTCTTTATTCTGATCTGAGGATCTAGGATGCAGGTTCACATGTGTCTGATGAAGTGGATATTCACCCACGAAAGCTTATGCTCTGATACATCTGTTAGTCTTAAAGGTGCCACAGGACTCTGTTGCTTTTTTAGGATGCAGGTTTACACTCACCGGTTTACAGGACGTAAGTCACTTTGCTTTGGGTCTATAAGTACCTGTTACTAAAATGGCTTGATTCTTTATTTGCTTGTTCTTGAATACTGCTGTGACATTCTTTAATAGTTTAATCAACTGCTTTATTTCAGTTTAAAGAAAAGTGAAGATAATGCCAAGTTGTCTGGTGAAATTAAGGATAAATTTGATTTTAAGGTACAGAATGTTAACTTGTATTTTAATTGGCTCTGGTTTTTGGAGAAGCCCACTGCCGGTTGGATATAATAAAGATGTTTTTAAGTTTAATATGTTATTGTAACATGTTTTAAACGTTGTAATGCTCAACTCACTATAGCGAAGAGAATAGGAAGTTAAGAAATTTTGATCACTTCAAAATACACCATTGCTTCAAATCAAACGAGCTAGTCTAAGCAGCATTCCAAAATGTTTGTTAAAACTGAAGTTTTTGACAAAAGTAGAGTTCAATTATTGCTGGATCTTATCTGTGTCAGGAGAGAGTATGATAGATGGCATAGGTAGTGGAGGTTGTGATTGGAGGGGAGACATAAATATAAAATGTCTAAATCTGAAACATTACTTACATGCTTACATTTCCTAACACATTGTATATTGTTATCCTTTTTAGCCCAGGCAGTTAGCCATTATTCGGGAATTTGTGGGTTGTTTCCGCTAGGAAGAGAAATTGATGAGTCGGGTATTTCTTTGATGTAATATTGTTGCTTTAGAATGTACACATAGTCCTGTTTCCCAGAATAAAAAAATAGGCGGCATTTTCTTTGCTTGCAGTTTCAGGATTCTTTCCAGCTAGCACTCTCGTCAAAAAGCTCTCTTAGCTTTCTCTTCTGCTGCTTCTGCCCACAGACCCATGTTACTCCAGCAGACAATACCCAGCCCTTTGTGTTCGTATTCCATCTCCAGTATTTCAGATTTCAACTGGCCTTGCATACTGTCTGTGTTTTGGGCAGTTGCTCCTATTATTTCAGAGAGGAGGGCAGCACCAGGTGGGGTGGGGGAGGAGGGAAGGACAAGACCACACTGCACTTCAAAACTTATTGAATGCCAGCCTTCTATTGCTTGGGCAGTCCTCTGGGGTGGAGTCGGGTGCCTGGAACAACACTTCTCCTCTTCCTTCCCCCCCCCCCCACTCCCCGGCGTTCTTGGGCATCTGGATGAGGGGGCTATGGAACTTGAGGAGGAGGGAGGGCGGTTACACAGGGGCAGCAGCAGTGGTCTGTGCTCCTGCTGCCTTTCCTGCAGCTCCACCAGATGCTGGAGCATATCCGTTTAATCTCCCAGTAGCCTCCGCATTGCATCCCGCCCCTCTCATCTCAGGCGTCCCTCCTGTCCTCACGTTCATTTTCTGCTTTCCTGGACTCTGACATTGTTTGCCTCCATGCATTCTTCTGAGCTCTTTCAGTGCAGGAGGACTGCATGAGCTCAGAACATTTCATCGCGAGTGTAGGGTTTTTTTTTTTTTTTTTTTTTTTTTTTTTTGCCTTCTTATCTGCGCTAGCTTCTAGGATGGAGATGATGGGGGAGCGTTGAAACATTTGTGGCTGCGGGAGGAAAAAAAGGGAGAGTAGTATTTAAAAAGACAGATTTTAGAGAACAATGGGTAGACACTTTCATGGTGAACCAGGCTGTTAACATTACATAGCACGTGTGCTTTTGGTACAAAGTCGCATTTTGCCTCTTCTATTGAGGGCCTGCTGGTTTGGTGTGAGAGATGACACACACAGGGCTGGGCAACAGAATTTGGCTTGCTGGCAGCCATGGTAAGCCACAGTCTTTCAGTTTCTTCAACCTTCATAACATGTGGGAATGGTTTCAAACAGCAGCACCCTCCTTTCCCATACCAAGCACCCGTTGGGTTGGCCTTTAAAAGGAGGGGCTGTACTGGCTGCGAATGCATCCCAAGTCTTCAGGGCAAATTAATCATTAAACATGCTTGCTTTTTAAACCATGCATTATATTTACAAAGGTACACTCACCAGAGGTGCCTTCTCTGGCTTCATGGTCCGTGAGTCTGCCTTGGGAGGGTTGGGAGCGTATTGGCTCCAGGGTGATAAACAGTTCCTGGCTGTTGGGGAGAATGGTTTCTCCGCTTGCGTGCTATGCGCTATCCTCCTCCTCCTCCTCATCTTCCGCATCCCCCAAATCCTCATCCCTGTCGCATGAGACTCCCCCCTTGCAGGTGTCCACGGACAGGGGTGGGGTAGTGGTAGGGGCGTTATCTGAGGCTCTGACCCGGAGCGGCCGTTTGCCTCTTTGGTTTTTTGGTAAGCTTGCCTGAGCTCCTTAATTTTCATGTGGCACTGCTGCGGGTCCCTGTTGTAGCCTCTGTCCATCATGCCCTTGGAGAGATTTTTCAAATATTTTGGCATTTCGTCTTTTGGAACGGAGGTCTGATTTGTCTCCCCATACAGCGATCAGATCGAGTACCTCCCGTTCGGACCATGCTGGAGCTCTTTTGTGATTCTGGGACTGCATGGTCACCTGTGCTGATCAGCTCGCCACGCTGGTCAAACAGGAAATGAAATTCAAAAGTTTGCGGGGCTTTTCCTGTCTACCTGGCCAGTGCACCTGAGTTGAGAGTGCTGTCCACATTGGTCACAATGGAGCACTCTGGGATAGCTCCCGGAGGCCAATACCGTTGAATTGAGTCCACGTTACCCCAAATTCGATCCGGCAATGTCGATTTCAGCGCTAATCCCCTCATCGGAGAAGTACAGAAATCGATTTTAAGAGCAGTTTAAGTTGACAAAAATGGCTTCGTCATGTGGACGGGTGCAGGGTTAAATCGATCTAGCGCTTGCTAAATTCGACCTAAACTCGTAGTGTAGACCAGGGCTTAGACTTCAAAACTGTATGCCTGTACCGGGTGCTTTCAAACACCTTTGTATAGAACAGTGCTCACTTTTGTCAGAAGAGTTGCTATTCTGAGCAAGCGGTGAAGAGTTGAAGGAAGGTAGTGTCTTTGTACTCTTTGTAGTGTTTAGGCATAAAATTTTCAAAAGCACCTAAGTTGACTTTCTCTGAGACTTAAATTCTTCAGTACCTAAGTCACTTTTGAAAGTTGCACTTGGGTACTTTTGAAAATTAATTAAGCATAAATGCTTTAAAGGGCTACTCTCAACTGGGTAATATGTAGACAATTCCAATTTAGAAGTCACCTATATTTGTTTCTAAATAGGGCAGTTTAACCCCTGTTGATGCACACGAGATAGAAGATGACATCAAGAAAATAATGCTTTCTGACCTGCAAAATCTAGGGCTCAAAAAAGCTATGGAAATACAGGTACTTTCTCCTTGCCACTCATTGCATGATTACATTTCTTTTTGGAAAATATTGATACATTTCACTGTCAGCATCTTCTGTGTTCATATCTATTTCTTGGACAGGTAAGTCACTTCACCACTGTATGCCTGTTTTCTCACCTGTAAAATGTGGATAGCAATCCTGGCCCATCTTTTTAAGAGTTGTTCCATCTATAGATGGAACTGCTATAAAAGGGGTGCGGGTGGTATTTTAGAATTGGGCGTTCCTGGCATCAGTAGTGTACATCTATCAGTTCTACCTGATACAGAATATTTATAGTATATAGACGCTCTTCATGTGTCCATTAAATAGTAAACACGGTAAGTTATTGATGACAAATATTAATGTTAGATACGTCAATAATATGGCTTTTCTTTTTAGGGTACAGTCACAGAATTCAGGAACCCAAGTGAATTCTATATACAGGTCTATTCTCCAGAAGTTTTAGAACGTATCAGCAAACTTACTGTGAAACTGAAAGATTGTTATGCAAATATTGTTAACCAAGAGGAATATATTCCTATCAAAGGGGAAGTTTGTGTTGCAAAATATTCTCTGGATCAGGTAACTTTCTTTTATTTGGGGCCTGGTAAACATTTTTAAAAGAATGTGGGACTGTAAATATCTAAATGTTCTAAATATCTTTTAAATTGTGTGTGTTCACTCAGTTTTATATATTCTGTTTTGTGTTGCATGTAACTCCCATTGTTATTAGCACTTGCATTGAGTGACGAATCTGTTTGTAGCATTTGGAAAGTGGGTGTAGCTTATACTGTACTCTTGCACATTCTGAATTCCAACTTTGTAGAAATTCTTGTCTTTTGAGAGAGTTTTTTGTCCAAGAGTAGATCATTTTCATGTAATATTTTTTTAAGTTCTTTGTTAAGTTAATTTTCTTTTAAACAGACCCTAAGCAAGTTAAAATACTTACCAGAATGGACTATCTTGCTATTGGTACAAAGGGGCAACCTGCAAATAAGAGTTATACCTCAATTTTTTTTAACCTTAGTGCAGGTCATTTGACCCTCCCCATTTACTTCTGATTCTTACCTGGTGTGTGGCCTGACTTTCCTGACAGCAGTTTTGTTAGTAAAACAACTTATTTCCCCCCTTCTTCGTCATCTACACTTTCTTCTTTCCTCCTCCTCCTCCTTTCCTTCAGTGCTACCAGACTCTTAGGCTGTTAGGAGCATTGTCATGATATGTGGTGTCTGTCTTGGGGGAAGGAGGTGGAAATTTCTTTAGCACAGACTTACTGTGAATCCTGAATGTTTTGTGCTTTGAAATGAGCCTTGTCTTGGTGACAGTGCTAATTCTTTTTCAGATGGCTTTTGCCCAAAACTATTGCTATACAATGAGTCTTTTGTTCAGTTGAGTTGTTTCAGAACTGATCAATATTTTTTACTTTGATGCCAACTTGATGGAGTAAAAGTAATTCCTGAAATTATTCCTTTTATGGAGAATATAATGAGTGTGTAGTTGTGTTTTTACATCCAGAATATCATTTGTTCATGTGTAGACCTGGAACAGAGTACTGGTAAAAAAGGTGGATATCTTGCAGAAGAAAGCACAAGTGTTGTATATCGATTATGGCAATGGAGAAAATGCTCCACTAGATTGGATTAAACCACTCCACAAAGACATTGAACTGTTTCCTCCTTGTGTGAGTATTTCTTTTTAACTTCTAACAGCTAGTTGGGTAAGCAAAAGTTGTATTTAAAATGAACAGTTGTCAATTAAATCACTCTTTCTAGTGGCATGCTATAATTGCAGTTACCACAACATTTTGTAAAAAGATAATATTGCAAGGGTAGTTTGGTATCATTCCTTTTATAATGATTAGGGATATGATGTTGTCATGGTAAAGTTGTCATGGGGGGAAGGATAGCTCAGTGGTTTGAGCATTGGACTGCTAAACCCAGGGTTGTGAGTTCAGTCCTTGAGGGGGCCACTTAAGGATCTGGGGCAAAAATCAGTACTTGGTCCTGCTACTGAAGGCAGGGGGCTGGACTCAATGACCTTTCGAGGTCCCTTCCAGTTCTATGAGATAGGTATATCTCCATATATTAATTACACATAATTTATGGCATAGTCACAGTAAAAAATAGATGATTTCTCTGTATGATCATGGCAACCTTGTGCACCCAGCTGCCATGCATTAGCAGTTAGCTTGTTTTGAAAATTCAAGCACTGATTAACAGTTAGTTGATTCAATTTGATCTAGTCCTGTTTCAAAGAGGAAACAGGACTAGATCAAATTGAACCAAGTAACTGTTAATCAGTGCTTGAATTGGGGGGGAAGGAGCTGCCCTGTCCTCTCTTCCACTCAGTGTAGAGCTCCTAGAAGGACAGGGCTGGGTTCCTTGTGGTGGCAGCTCCTATTTTCTTCCTTTTTTGTAGGTCCCCTGGACCTCAATTTCTCCCCCCTTTTCCTATCTCCCTCCCTAGCTGGTTGCTGGGATCTGCTACCCGGGCTTGGTGCATCACTTGGCAGATCCCAGTCTCCGAGGCCCTAGTCTGGAGACGCCCATTCGTCCTAGCAGGAAGAGAGCGGCGCTGTCCAGTGCTCTGGCCAGTTGCTCTGCAGAGATCAGCTCAAGCCCGCTGCATCTCATCCTGTTCACTCTTCCTCCAGTGACAAGCTGGGGTGGGGGGGACTGGGCCCAGAGTGGGGTCAGGGATTGAGGGGGTGGAGGGTATTTACTGGGGGGCGGTGGCATTCAAAGAGGACTAGATCAAAGTGAACTAATGCTGTGTTAATGCATGGCAGCAGGATAAATGTCGTCATTCGTGGTTCTGTGACGATGGTGAGCGTTCATGGTGGAGTTGAAGTAAATGGCAGAATTCCTGGGTTCCATGACAGAATTGTATGCCTACTAATGATTCAGTTACTGTTAGTAATTCGAAGTTATGGTTTTGTGAAGCTTGTGATAGAAAAATATGCAAGTGTTGAAAGTGTTGGCATGAGTAAGTAAATGTGGTAATTGAAAATTTGTTAAGTTATTAGAGAATTTTGGCCTCTGCATATTTCCACTCATGGAAGATGTGCCTCCCAGTGCAGGCTAGACAGGAGAATTTTCGCCAAGCAGAGCTTGTTGAAGCTCAGATAACACCAGCTAATTTGCCCATCATCTAACATACTGTCACCCACACATCTCACCTAATGCTGAAGCATTTTTGAAATATTTTTTCTTTGAACCTTTACAGATTGCTAATAATTTTAGACTGCATGGTGGCTGTAATATTTGGACTAATGTTAATTTGTTATCTGGAATGAGTCCACCAAATTCATTTTCACTTGAAAATTTATACTGAGATCTCAAACTGGTGCTCTATCCCCATACACCTAACATATGATGGGCAGTCGTTACCGACTATGATCATTTTCCATGGGAGTTATGGGTCCTCAAGTGGCTAATAAGGCCAATCCTTGAACCACAAGTTCTATTGCAATGAGGGCAAATGTTTTCAGGCTCAGCAGGAGGCTGTTGACCATGACTGGGAGCCAGTCTCTCCTTCCTCCTGCACCTCTTGTCCTCTTCAGCTTGTCGATGAGCAAGTTCAAAATGCAGGGGACCATCACGTAGGACTTCACTCCATTTTAAGCTATCCTGGGCAACTGTCTCCCAAGTGTCAATGTCAATATTACACTTTTTTTTTAGGTTTTCCTTCAGCAAGTCCTTATAACGCTTCCATTGTCCACCCATGTTACCATATCCTTCTTTCAGCTGAGAGAAAAGGACCTGTTTTGGGAAGCGATGGTCTGCCATCTGGACAACGTGACCAGTCCAGCGGAATTGCTGATGGATGATCATTGCCTCGATCCTGGTGGTCTTTAGTATCTGTGCCTCGTCCAGAACACTAATATTGGTGCACCTGTCTTCTCATTTGATCTTCAGAATCCTACGATGGCAGCGTTGATGGTGCTTTTCAAGTGGTGTCTATAGGTTGTCCAAGTTTCGGACCATACAACAGGGTTGGGAGAATAATGGTTTGATAAACAAGAAGCTTGGTGTCTGTTCGAATGTCGTGATCTTCAAAAACCCTGTGCCGTAAACGAGGAGAAGCTACACTGGCACAGCTCAGGCAATGTTGAATTTCTGCATCAATATTTGCCTTGGATGAAAGATCACTTCCAAGGTAGAGGAAGTGATCAACATTCTCCAGTGCTACTCCATTGATTTTTTTGATCGATGAGGCATGTAATACCTCCTTTGGAGAGGGCTGATAGAGTACTTTAGTCTTCTTGATATTAAGAGTGAAACCAAGACATGCGTAAGCATCGGCAATCACATTCAGGATAGTTTGAAGATCTTTCTCAGAGTGGGGAAAAGATTGCGTTGTCATCAGCATGCTGAAGTTCCACAATAGATGTTGTGGAAATCTTACTCTTGGCTTTCAGCCTGCTAAGCCTGAACAGCTTTCCATCCATTCTGTAGATGATTTCAACGCCAGCTGTAAACTTCCCAGCAATTAGGTAAAGAATTACGGCAATAAAAAAAAAATTCTCTTTTTACCTAACATATACACCATGAGAAATAGGTGGCTATTTAAGCTGTATTTTGGACCTTGTCCTCTCCCATGTCCACCACATTTGGGCTGGTTCTCTTCCTGAAAATTGAGACAGTTCTGACTTGCCTATGAAGCTCTGGGTTTTTAGCTATGCCTCTTCTACCTTTGTGCCAGATTTTTTTTCTCTGTGTTGTTCGCTGCTGGCATCCCAGCCTTTGGAGCTAATTTAAGGAAAGCTGTGACAAGACGCGGAGACTGACTTCCACAGTGTCATGGAACCAGGAGACATCAGTCAGTCTTTGCCCAAAGCTCCTGGGTCTTCTGCACAGAGGTGGTTTCATGGACAAGACAGTCTCCTTTACTACGCAGCTCTGTATCCTTAGAGCAAGTCCACTCTGTGCACTGAATGAAGTAAGACTCCTGTGAGGCAAAATGGTATGTGATCATAAATAAGGACTATTATAATACATATATACAATAGGACTAAATTAAAATTGCAAAAGCCACCTTAATTCTGGTGTTTCCTTTCTTTTGGGTGCTTGACTTTGCAAGCTTAATGTTCTTTTAAAATGGCTTTGTGTGTTTAATTTCCTAGATTTTTAAAAAGCAAACTAGAAAAACAAATTCCATCTCTTGGCATCATATTGATACCCATGTGGTTCATCAGCACTGTTGAGCATATCCAATGTGGATGAAATTGTGGAGATTTTAGCTGCAAAAATCTGAAGTTTCTTCTGGACATGTATGAGGAGCTGTGACTTTTCTCCCCAGAGACTTAAAACTTGGTCACATACAGGCAGTTTTTCACAGGGATGGCAAAATATGCACCCCTAAATACAAAGGCCACTCCTTCCTTCCCCTCAAAACTTCAAGTATAGGTTCCTTGAGAATCTCTCATTTAAATTGGGGGAAGCACTCTTTCCAGATATGCAAGGGGAGTACTGTTTTGCCCATAGCTTCCTACCAAGGTGCTCATGACACATGCTTCTGTGTTCGGGTGGGGAACTCCCCTAGGACATCTTCAGACCCAAGACCTCTGGATTTCCAGTGAGACTCGCCTTCATATAAATATACTTGCTGATAACCTATGCTGTCATAGAATTGTCATTCATAAAGCCGTGTTTTGTTTTGTTTTTAAAAAAGGCCAAAAATGACTGAGAACTTAAAGTAGATGGTAACAGACAGTGAATCCCAGTAATGATTGCACCTTCTGATATTCTAAACAAAAAACTCTCAAGTATGCTGTCGCTGTTCATCACTTCACGCTGACTCAAGACATTCTAGGCTTCAGAGTTATAATGCTGGAATCTTGTATAGATCAGAAATCAGAGCTATTGGTCTAGCATTCACAGCTATCCCTTTCCACTCTGTGAGGTTTGACAGTCCAGGTCAGAGCACTCAATACAACAGCAATGTAGTAATAATTTGTAAGACAGGGAGGAACATGATCATTCCCTCTTTGCCAGGAAACTGTTTTTGGAACTGGTGCATTTGTCACCAAATCATTCCAGTAGCTCTGCTTCTGCCAGAATTATAAAATGTCCTAGGACCATCTCCACAGACAGTTCACAAGCAAACCACAGATGGACTATCATGGACTCTGTCATCCAGAACATCTTTCTGTAAGTGGCGTCACCTGACTGTAGAACTGTTCGCCTCAAGAGTTAATGTCAGCTGTTTTGCTCAAAGGGGAGGGTCTGAGCCAGGTTCTCTGACAAGTGATTTCCTCAACTTGTGGACTTCAGGAATAATCTAGGCTTATCTACTGATACCATTAATACCGAGGGTTTTCAGAAACCACATTGTAGGATTCAGCGGTGATGATCATATTAAAACCAGCACAATCAGTTCTGGTACTGGGACCTCATGAACTTGTCCACTCAGCCACAGATATCCTCATCTTTTAACTATCATAATCTCCCAGAATGAAGGACACTTTCTACATCTGGACCCAGCTTTGTTGCGCTTGACAGAGCGGATGGTGGCTTGCTAATCATCACGGAGAGAAGCTGCTCTACAGAGGTCAGAGCATACTAGTTCAGAAAAGACTCTACGAGACTAATATAAGCAGCCAAGTGGAAAAGATGTCCTGTTTGGGCGGAGCAATGCCATTTATGTCCTCTAAAGACTTCTATTCTTGCTATTGTGGATGATGCACTCTCACTGACTAACTCAGGGCTATCAGTCTGTTCAACCGGAGTACGCTGAGCAATATCGGCTCACCATCCCCTCCCCCCTGAGAGTCGCATCATATTCTCCTTCCCCACAGTAGCCAGGTTCCTTAAGACTCTTATTTTCCCCCCAGTCCCAGAGCCCTCTCCTTCCTGAGATCCCAGTGTAGTCTTACCTGGGTTAATGGGTTTTCCTTTTTGAGTCCCTCTCATCATGGTCATTCTTGCTCACTCTATCATCCGTCTCTGAAGAGGGCCTTATATGTCTACCTAGCAGCTAGGAGGTGTAAAAACCCAGTGTGACTGTGGCACCCTAGGTGGTGACTTAGGCTAGCTGCCTGCATACAATCCATGACCCCATGGGTATGTACTCTGGCAGTTAGCCCAAGCCAGCACCTGTGCCAACACAGCCACACTGCTATTTTTAGCATGCTAACTTGAGTAGAGCTTGCATGTGAATGTCTACCTGTGTTAGGATTTGCACCTGCTAGCTGCTGTGCAGACATAACTGAAGTGGCTATACCATCAACTCAAAAGTTTGAAATTCAGGCTCTTTTATGTCCTATCCGTCTTGGCGTGTTCCGTTAGGACAAAGTACCCTAAGGCCTCATGCTACATTTTTTTTCCCCTCAGTGGTAGCCTTCCATTTAAATCAGATGATTTATCTGCCTGTTTTCTTAAGGACCACTACAAAGAGAAGCTAGAAAGTACACATTTGGTGTGTGTGGGGCTCTTTCATTTTACCTTGACAGGATCAAGCCTTTCAGACTCCCTGAGACTATTTGTAGCATTCGAAGGAAGGATGAAAGTTCAGGCAAGATCTACCCAAAAGCTAAGTGTGTGGGTATCTAATTGTATTAGGGTATGCTATGAGCTAACAAGATCAGATCCACCCATGCAGGTAAGAGCCAACTCCATTGGAACTCGGGCTTCCCTGAGATGCATACCTATCTGAAATCCTCTGCGTGGCTACTCTGGGGTCAGTCCACACGTTGTCACGTTACACAGCCTAGTTGGAGCATCAAGATCTGAAACCCACTTTAGCAGAGCTGTCCTGCAGCCTTTATTTAAGTAGACTTTCTGAGCACCCACCTCCTTTATACTAGGTCACTGCTTGTTAGTCACCAAAAGTGGAATACGTATTGACAGTCATTTAGAGAGAACAGTTACATGCTCTATAGTAACTGGCCCTTTGAGATGTTGTCCATATATATATATAAATATTCCACTGCCCTCCCTCCTTCTCCTATGAAGTTCTATAGCACCAGGATTCTGTGTCTGTGAAAGAACTGAAGGACTGGGTGGAAGAGGAGGCGCAAGGGCAATCTTGCACATGGGGTACATGTGCACACCAGAAGTGGAGTATATATGGACAATAGGTCTTGAAGACACATCTGCACTTATTGTAGGGTCTGTAACCATTTCGTATGGCACAATGAATGAGGATAACAGTGGAGGCAGGGAAAGAACAGGAACAAGAATTACAATATATTGTCACTTAGTTCCCCTGTAACCGTAGTACCTTATGTAAACAGCTTGAATTGTTAATATGGACTTCATTGACTTGAATGCAAAAACAAAAATAAGAACCAGTGACTGTGTTTCTTGCAAACCAAAGATTTTGTAAGCCATAATTTTATTTTCTTAAAAAATGTATTCTTTATGGTCCTCTCTTTCAGGCCATTAAGTGTTGTGTTGCTAATGTTGTTCCAAAACAAGGAGGATGGAACAAAGACTGTGCTAGCATTATTACCCCTCTGCTCGTGGGACAGGACTGTTCGGTGACTGTTGTTGACCTATTACAGGAGGAGATGATGACTTGTTTTGCTGTAGATGTTGTCCTGCCAGGTTCTGGTAAGATGGGTTTGATTGTTCAGGGAAATATCTTCAAAATAGTCTGTTTTGATTCTCATTTCTGTTCCCTTAAAGCAGTGTTTCCCAAACTTGGGACGCTGCTTGTTTAGGGAAAGCCCCTGGCGGACTGGGCCAGTTTGTTTACTTGCCGCGTCCGCAGGTCCGGCCGATCGCGGCTCCCAGTGGCTGCAGTTCACTGCTCCAGGCCAATGGAAGCTGCTGGAAACAGCGTGGGCTGAGGGATGTACTGGCTGCTGCTTCCAGCAGCTCCCATTGGCCTGGAGCGGTGAACCACAGCCACTGGGAACCACCATCGGCCGGACCTGCGGACGCGGCAGGTAAACAAACGGGCCCGGCCCGCCAGGGGCTTTCCCTAAACAAGCGGCGTCCCAAGTTTGGGAAACACACTGCCTTAAAGCGTTCTACAGAAATGAGATCTCACACTTTTTACCTAAAATGTTTAGTTTTCTAGTCTTAGAAATTTGAATTGCTGCAATAGAGATCTTGTTTTCAGAAGTTGTGTGTCTTGATTGGCTTAATCTCATGCTTTGTTGACTACCTTTATAAACTTAAATTCTTCAATAGTGAACCTTTTTTTATTATCCAGACTTTCTAAATGATCTTGTTAATTTTCTTCCCATATGGTGCTAGTCTTTATAGAGCTCTTGTATACTGGCATGTAGTGACTTGGGGTTATTTCCTTTACATTCTTTCTTACTGTAATAGTAAAAAAAATTTCACGCTGTTTACTTTGAGGTAGTTGCCTTTTCCAGGAACAACTGTAACTCTGCTCTGTAGTGATGTTATACAGTAATAATATGGCTGTGACTAATGTGTCTTAGTTTTTGTGGTCCTAGTGTACATTAAATGGATTCTCAAAGACCTAGCCGATTTTATTTTTCCCCTCAAGTCATCGCTACAGGGCAGACTCAGGTTGTTTTGGGTCCCTAAACTGTCCATTGCTTAGCTTAACATGTTTGGATTTCTTTTAATTATTACCTTAACTTTGAATTTCCTGAGTTTTTAATGCATGGTTTTGGGGAAAAAAAATGTTTATCCTTAAATTACTGGTACATACTCTCAACCTTAAACCCAGCTTCTAAGAGTGTTGTGTTCGTTTATTTTTTCCTCCTGGGACTTTCCTTCTTTTTTAAAAATTTATTTAAGATTACATACTTAATTAACATAAAAACTAAACAAGAATTCCCCCCAAAATGCTACTATGTGATATTTCTAATTATTTGAAGTCCTAATACCAACCTTAAATCTTTACATGTTAAGGACAGAGTACTCAGTGGAGAAGAGTAGCATGAAGCAGCCAGAGTGCATTGGCCAGCTAAGCAGCTGTAAACCCAGCCTTGCATTGCTATAACAGCTGAGATAAACTAGTGGATCTGGACCTAAGTTTGCAATTAATTTATTGGTTTTGAGAGCTCTTTGTGAAACCAGTGCTATGTGAAGAGGGGAGGCCGGGAGAGCTCAGTTCTCTTGTACCTGCTCTTTTAGGGTTCCCATTGTGCTGCTGCTTTGGTGTGCAGTGCTGCGTTGGTGTGCCATGAAGTTAAGGCAGTGGTACCATCTAGTCCAGGGGTGGCCAACCTGTGGCTCCGGAGTTAATGTGGCTTCAGAAGTTAATACGCGGCTCCTTGTATAGGGACCGACTCCGGGACTGGAGCTACAGGCTCCAACTTTCCAATGTGCTGGGTGGTGCTCACTGCTCAACCCCCGGCACTGCCACAGGCCCTGCCCCCACTCCACCCCTCCCCTGAACCTGTCATGCCCTTGCTCTTCCCCCTCCGAGACTCCTGCACGCCATGAAACAGCTGATTGGGTGGGGGAGGTGCTGATCGGCGGAGCTGTTGGTGGGTGGGAGGCGCTGGGGCGGGGGCGGGCTGCTGATGTATTACTGTGGCTCTTTGGCAATGTACATTGGTAAATTCTGGCTCGTTCTCAGGCTCAGGTTGGCCACCCTGATCTAGTCTTTTAGTCACTGATGTCCATACTATGGCTGCAGCCACAGAACCTTTAAAGAGTAGGGATATTTGAGCCAGCTAACTTACCAATGAGAACTCTTGACATGCAAGTAGTTTCCTGCATGCTATTGTGTAATGATAGCAAATACAATTATTAGCTATAAAGGAAGAATGCTGATTGAATTACAGTGGCCCCACTTAAGTTATCTGAGCCTGGCAGTAGCCTGTATAATAACAGATACGATTGTTAATAACTTAGCTTAATTATAACCCAACTTCTTCAAATATAGGTTGTGCATGAGATCAAACTCTCAAACAGACAAAATTATTTTTAAGTATTTGTGGTGTTCTACTCATTTGGGACAAAGAGAAGAGACTGTCAGATACTGAAGATCTTAAAGGACCCTGTTTTTAATTAACTAATTCATAAGCTAATGGATTTACTTGTAAATTCTCAGGCCTCATTCTGTACTCCAAAGTGCTGTAAGTTTGGGGAAGATCTGGAGAGGTTGAATCCTGCTTGGTGTGACACATGGAACTCAGCCTTAACTATAGAGTGATAACAAATTAGCATGATAACAAATTGAGTAACAATTGTTAGATATTTTGGTGAAGTGAAATTAGCAAGGCAATAATATTTGAGAAGTGGGTGTTTTTAGGAAGCTTCTGAGTAGTCAAACTACTCTGAGACTTGTGTTTATATCTATATAAAAATGTTATTCAACACCCACGGCATGCTAGATGCTTGACCAACAAGTAAAATAGACATAGTCTGGGTCAGATTTTCCAGGGTTAGTAGTTTAGAGAGTGTGTTCAGAAAACATTTAAAAAACTAGTCTGAGACTGCCTTTGTATGGTAAATTAATTTACATAAATATGTATTTTAGGGAAACACCTAGATAAAATACTTCTCGAAATGGGACATGAATTGAGTCCAAAGAGGAAAGAAACTAAGAAAACGGACCCAGATACAGGTGAGCAAACCAGTCAGGCTTTTGACAGATTGATCTGAAATTTGGGAATGGTATCTTCTCCTATTTTGAATGGTGTGGAGATAATGGTGAAGTTAGGGTGCCCTCTGTTTCAAACTGTTACTTAAGATGTTGGACAGTGGAACTAGCTTCAGTTCACCGTTGACTGTGATGTGGTGTGTTTTCTTATTAGAATATTCACTCAGTAAAATAGCTTCTCCTGTTATGTTTGTATTTCCTCAGGTACTGTGTTACAAAAGGATTCTGAGGGAGAAAGAGAAAAAACAGCTGAAGATGAAGAACTGGTTCAGAATAGTGATTTAGCCATAAAGGTTGTTTCCGTATCCGTGGGAGATACATTTTCTGGTGTAGTTGCCCATATTCAAACACCAGAAGACTTTTTCTGTCAGCAGATGCATAATGGCCGTAAGTTAATATATTCATACAGGTCATTCTAAAGTAAAAGTGTTAACATAATTATTTATGCAAAAATGGTAAATTACAATTATATATACTATTTTCTTTTTAACAAAAAGCACCTGAAAGTCCCAGGGGAAGAAGGTGGGACCAGAAGGAAGGGAAATTGAGTTAGGGCTCCTAGTTTATTCCCCCAGAATAAGAGCTGCATGCATCTTGAAGCCTAGAATACCTGGTGAGGACTCAGTGGACCCTATGAGTCTGGAAGAGGCTGAAAACAGCAGGATCCTATGGCACAGAGTTTAGCTTTCTTGTGTGGCCACTTGACAGAATTATTTTTTCTGCCTTGCTTGTACAAAAAGTGTGTTTTGTTTTTGTTTTTGATTTGTTGAACTGACCCAAAATATATTGTTTAATGCTGAGCTGATACTAAACTAATACTTATAGTGCAATATTTCCTTATAGCAGTTGCAGTTTGAGTGCTTGATGCCCCTATTCTCTCATGGCTAAATCCACAGATTGTCAGTATGGGTCATTGCCTATCTGCCCCCTACTGCTACAGAATCAAAGCTGATTGGATAGCAGACAAGGGACTAGCCCCCACTTTCCAGCGACCTCCTCCCCTCAGTTTCGGGTTTGTTCTGCCTCCAGTAGCTACTGGCAAGGAAGTGGAATCCAGTACCTGCTGCAAGAGAGAATGGGAAAGCAAAACCCAAAATATAAAGATGCAGTTTGTCTCATACAGTGCCACTCCCAACTGCTCAAGTAACGGGCTATGAGAACGATGGAGAAAGGTCCAGACAGGAGACCAAGGCTACGCTTGTTCTGCATCCCTGCAATAAGCTTGTGCCTTGTTTTCCAACTGCCTCATTCTCTGGGTTGGAAATTGTTTAGCTCTGGTGGCCTTATTTTGACCCAGGAGCTAGTTCCCCACCAGCAGGGAGTTTGACAGCCAGACTGCGAATGTCTTGAAGGATGGAGGAAAAATGGAGATCCCTTTGGCCACCAGAGGCAGATGCATCAAAGGACAGCATCCTGGCACAGGGAAACCGTAGGCGGGCCTGGCTGAATCTGCCAGACGCAGGACAAGAAGTGACTAGTAAGACTGTTTCAGGGATGTGCCCTCTTGCAATGTGGGTCACATCATTCCCACCTCTCTTCCCCCTCCCGCCCCCCCCATCCGTGGCAGGAAATTCAGTCTCCTTCCATTAGCCTCTGGGAAAGTCAGGAATTCTGCATATACAGATACATAGGGAAGAAGGGAATCTCATCAGGAAGAAATTATTTCTTGGGCTAGGCAGCTCTTGGGTTTGGTATGAAAAGCATTGTTACCTCAAAGTCTGCTGTCTTGGAGCCCTGGGCAGCAGCTTAGTGTCCCCTTACTAGCATATAGTCTGCTCTCAAAAGGGCAAAGATAGAGATGCATTTAGCAGAGGAGGTTCACGGGACTCCTCACCTGACTCAGATTCCCAATCCCCACCTCCCCTAAAGAGTAAAATTTTAAAAAGCGGGGGAAAGGGTTCAAGAAATTACCACAGAAATCTAGGAAAAAAACTTGGCCTATTCTTCTGAGAATAGCAGTTTCTTTGACTCCTCACCAGAGCAAAAACTCTGCTCACAAGGTTTTGATCCATGGAAAGAAAAGAATAATAAAAGGAATAGAATTGTTTGTCTGATTTTTCTTTATCTTCATCATCATTTAATTCATTTTCATCCTCATCTTCATGTGTATCAACAAAAGAAAAAAGACTAGGAAGTATGTTCAATCCAAGTCCCAGAGAGGACTTGTCAGGATTTTCTTCAGAGCGCTTAAGATCTTTGAGGACCTCTTGATGAGGATTACAGATACCCTTGACATACCACCTGAACTGACTCAGGAAAAGCAGTAGACGGTTGGATGTTCTCCACCAACAATACTGAGCAGAATAGCAATGCACATTAATAAGTCTCTCCAAGTTGGCCAATGAACCTTGCATACTTCTGTCTCCATCCCACCCTTTGAGCCCTTGGCAACCTGCTCTTTTATCATTTCTCCGGGCTAATGTGACCACTATCTGGACACTTCCTGAAGAGTTGGTGAAGATCCTCATGGCAGAGTTTCCCTAAACTATATTCTATAAGGATGAGTTCAGGCCTCCTCAAGTTTTTGCCTAAGATGATATTGGATTTTCACCTCAATCTATCATCTCCTACTATTGTTTCTAAAACCCCACTCTAATCCAGCCAAAATGAAACTATAAACCTTGGACATACTGAAAGCTTTATCCTTTTTTATTTAGACAGAATTAAGTCATTCAGAGTATTACCAAGAGTGGTCATGACTTTCGTGGAGAGTTTCCTCTAACCCTCTATCTGCCTTCAGATTATCCAAGTGGGTTTTGGACTGCATCAGACTTCGCTCTCAAGGGGTTAACAAGACATTGTCAGGACGCATTCCACCAGGGCTCATGCAATCTCAGCAACTTCCCAGTCAAACGCTTGGATTTCTGAAACGTGGTGTGGTCACATAGAGCTAGGTTCACATGTTCACTTCCCGCTACTTCCTGGTTTGGGTTTCCAGATCAGATGCCAACTTTGGTAGACCAGTTCGCCAGTCACTCTTCAAGTTAAACTTCTCTTCCACCTCTTGTAGAAATAATTGCTTGCTACAAGTGCAATCGGTGTGGACAATCACTTGAGAAAATGGTTACTTACCTTATGGTAAGTGTGGTTCTTTGAGATGCATTGTCCACACAGATTCCACTACCCACCTTGCATCCTCACTAATCGGAGTCCCACTATGTGGGATTTTTATTGTCAAAGGAACTGAGTAGCAGTTGCATGTCCTGCTTGGCGGCAGTGGGCAAGAAGATATGAGGGATGCTATTCAAAAATAATCTGATCTTGTGTGTATAAGGCACTTGTGTACCAAGAGTGGAATCTGTGTGGACAACTCATTTGGAGAGCCAGTAGCTGTCCTTTTCAGTTTTTCCAATGGAAAAATCAAAACATTTTAGTAAATCAGAATTTTCTCTGTTTTAAAATTTTGATTTTACAAAAAATATTTTCTGTTGAAGAATAATTTTGACTAAAAAATATATACTAGAGCTGGCTGGGAATTTTCTAACAGGAATTCATCCTCTAGATCACCGAATAGAATTCATCACTCTTGTAAAGATTGGCTTTCTGTGATATGTGGTGTTCAGGCATGTACACATCAAAACAGAACAGTGTTTTTTTCCACTTACATGTTTTCACCTCTGAACAATCTTGGACCTGATAGACTTTTTTGTCATCTCCAGAGATTCAAGATGAAGGTGCCATGGTTAGTCATTTAGCTGGTGCTCTGAAGAAATTCTTGGATTTCATAGATCTATAAGGTACTTGTCTGGAGCACAAAAAATACCTGATTCTGTTGGAAATGTGTAATTCCAATACTGCACTTTGCCTTTCATCTGGGAAGCCGCTTCTGAGATTTATTAAACTTATCAGTGGTAGCTGCCAACTTCCAGAAGTGGAGAATCTTAAAGATTTCCTGTCTTGGTGACTGGCTGATCAGGGACAAGTCTCCCAGAAGACAGTCAAAAATATACCAGAGATCCTCCATTTGAAGCTCATAAGACTTTCTTGCATTATATTAAATCCATTTCTGATGGCCCAGTTGTTGAACCATAAGAATGAAGAGCTCTATCCTGTGATTTGAGACCAAAGGTTACCTTGATGAGGGGGGAAAAAATGCCTGCCTTTTGTTCCAGACATGGCAAACCATAAGGAAGCAGATTGCATTGTACAGTGTTATGAGGGGTCCTTGAATCTCTTTAACTTCTGTAAAGCCTTGAATTCTCTCTCATCTAGAGCCTAGGTAAAAGATTTTGTAGAACAGGTCTGCAAAGTTTTATTGTAATGGAGTAAAGTTCTGCTTTAGTTAAGGTTGAGTTGTAGTGTTCTAAAAATCTGTTGTGGTCAGATGTGCTTAGATTGTCTTGAAGTATGCTGTGTCTTAGGGGAGTGTGGGTTAGGGTTAGTGATCCAAATTTGGGGTCATTTGAGCAAATTTCCCCTCAAGCATTTCATGTAGTCCACAAACTACCAAACTTTTGCGTGCACACCTGGGGCTTGGATCATCCCACCCCACCTAATCTGTTGCTTGACATTTTAGCTCAGCTGGTGCATGGCACCCACAGCCCCTTTGAGGAAGCAGTATTGAAAACATTATTAAAGGACATATGTAGTTCTCTAGGATGGTATATGCTCAACACTCTCACATGTGCATGTGCAGAAAGACTAGGGAAAACTGTTTCCATCCAACCAAGTTTCACATATCCCTTGGTGGCTCAAGGGGACATGCTGTGGCTGTCAAAAGCTGAGCTATACCAAGGCACTGTAAGTTTGAATCTTACCTTTTGGCAAAAATCTTAGAGCTCTGTAGACCTGATGCAACATTCCACCTATGTCAAGGGTTGTGGGTTTTTTTAATATAATCTGAGTAAAGCAGGTAATTCAGAAGGGGCTCAAATGACTTGTGGGGGAAAATGACATACAAATATTTGCTATACAGTGCCTGGGAGTGTGAGTTGAGAGTGCAAGCAGATGGGGCAGGGAATAGGTGTAGAGATTTAGGGTGGGATGATGTGGGGAGGAGGATTTGGGGGGATTAGGAGTTGGTGGAGCCCTATTCCTCTCAGAGGCTCTGAGCCTCTCTCCCTGCCTCCCATGTGAGCTGGAATTGGTGGGGGAGGGAGGAGACGAGCAGGAGTGCTGAAAGTAATGCAGATTTACACCTCTGAAAACTTAGGAAATGCAAACCTAACATACATATCACTCTTATGCAGGGTGGGAGGCTGACAGGGTGGGGGAAGGTCTGGCCTGGCCTGTATTTCAAGCAGAACTCAGACCTCTGAAAACCAGGAAATAGAACGAAGATACACACCAACACAACCTTAAATCTGATCATTTTGAGCAATGCCTCAATAAGATCATAACACTTTGCCTCTTCAGATAGTGCTGAATTTAGGGAATAGACAGTCCAACAGTGATCACCTACCCTAACACTACCTCTTTAGGCAAAACATATGGTTAGGTGAGCTGTACAGAACAGGAGTTACATATACCCGACCTTCACTCAAACATAGTTTACTCCACAGAAACAGCATACACCTGCTAAATTTTACAACCCCTTCACCATTAGGCACAGGTTGGTATTTAACACTGTACTTTCACTTAGCCATCATTAAACCCACAGACCACTCGTATCCTACCTTACTACTGCCAGTCCCCCTGGCAAGAAGATCCCTTTGTACCGCTATTGACACAGCCTACAGAACTCCTTGCTGAAATGAGGCATCCTAGATCTCTCAAGGTACATACGCACCTCTTTCCTTTGATCATGCTATACCTAACAGTGAATGCAGCAGCAGTGCATGCTGATAATTCCCAGTGGCTATTGCCAGCTCCAGGGCTCAGTTAGAATTGTCCCTTAATTCCTTATTCTTGGGTTTTCAGAGGTTTGAATTTTGCTGAACTCCTGGAATGCCCTGGAAGGGCACTAGGAACCACCAGCCAACTTTAACTCTGCGTTAATGAAGTTTCTCATTGAATTAGATTTTTACAGAGCTGATGTGCCTTTGCTGTCACAAGTTTTGACCAGCACTGAGACTGAAAAACCATCCCACCCAGTTATACAGAAAGAAGTTGATTTTTGTCCACTGGAGAAATACCATTGATTATAGGAAACCTCTGTTCTTTCAGGCTTTTGGAAAATCCTTCTCTTGACACAAAAAGGAGTCTAACACTGTGATTTTTTTTATGTAATAGAGTAATCTTAATTTTGCGCATTGAGTTAAAAGGGTTTGTCTTGTAATGCTTGCTTAAAGAAGTCTTGTTAATGAGTAATTTCCAAAAACATTTCTTGTCAACAGGCCAGCTTGCTGAGCTTCAAGTATCCTTGGGTGAATACTGTAACAAAATCCCTACTATCCCAAATTTCTGTCCAGCTGTTGGAGATGAGTGTTGTGCCCAGTTTACAGGTAAAGGAGACTCTAAATGGCTAATCGCTATTATGTTTAATTTCCTACCCAATTAAACTAAATCTCTATAAAGCACTCTTAAATAGATTTGAGTGTCTACATTAGAGAGTTGCACCGATTAAACTTTTTTAGACATATATTTAATTCAAAGATCTTTCTAAGTGTAGACAGGCTTTTACCCTTTTACTTGGACCCAGTTTACCTGTGGACACAGAATTTTCAGCTATGTCTATGGTAACCAGTGTTGTGACCAGACACCAGCTGTGATTAAGAGCCTGGAAACCATACTTACATCAAGGAAACCATAAAATTGGATAAATTCTTGGGTAGAAATGCTTCTAGGGAAATCCTGAAGAAATTGCTAGCTCCTTAGGCCGGAGGAAGAGAGTACTACCGATGTGCTAAATAAACAGTTTTTCTTGTGTCCAGAAACAGTATGGGATCCATAATACAAGAAACGAGAAAATGGGGAGCAGAGAAGCCGTGCAACATCCAGTAATGTTTACTTTGATATTGGCAGGGGGATTTGGTCTTTGCTCATCTGTTTCAGTGAACATAGTTGTGATAGTGGAGTAAAGTTAGCTAATATCTCACTTTACGTTTCCAAATGCCTTAACACCATCTAAACCTATTGCTATCCCTTTTTGATCTGAATGATTGGACCTGCAGATTGTTTCCAGGAGGAGGAAAAATTGATCATCGGGTATTTCTTTATCAATAAACAGGATTGCATCGAAGTCCTGTTTCCCTGAGTGCAGTAGGAATTAAACAGGAGATGGTTATTTGCCCACTTTCCTAAGCCCCTTTCCAGCTACACCCAGCCCTAAAATGTTCTAACTTAGCTGCTTCTCAGGGCCATGCTCCTAGTGCTTTTTCTGGCTGTCTCCTTTGCTTTCTTGTTGCTTTTTCTGTCTGCTTCTGTAGTCTTTCTGCTGTTTCTGACAGATGCCTCTCCATCAAGCACTACCCAGTGAACCCTCTCTGGCCACATAGCTCTGTTTCTGGTGGGACTAACGTGTGCCTTTGTTTTGGGCAGTGATGTGCCCATGTTTTGGGTGGAATCTCCTGTTTCAGCTATCTGATTCCATTAAGGAGCTTATATTTTTTCTTATATTTATTTTGAATGAAGGGTGGCTGTTATACTTAACTGCTTCAACAAGGTTTAACTCAATCCATGACAATATTATAGTTCAGAGCCATTGCATTTTGTATTCATATGTTGCCAAGAAATCCTTTTGGTGCTTAGGAATTAATTATTCACAGAATGTTTGTATCTGCATCTTTCCTTCCAGAAGACAATCAGTGGTATCGTGCCTCTGTTCTAGCATATACTTCTGAAGATACTGCTTTAGTGGGCTACATAGATTATGGTAACTTTGAAGTTCTCCAAGTGGCTAGACTTCGCCCTATTATTCCAAAATTATTGGAGTTGCCAGTGCAAGCCATAAAGTGTACATTAGCAGGTATGAAATGAACTACAAGCTATTGCAGGTGGGATGAAAAATAAAGTTCAAAACAGATTTGGGGGGAAATTTTCTCAGAATTTGCCTAATTTAAGACCAGATACAGCTACTGTGTGATGGAGGGAGGGAGGGAGGATGAGGTTAATGGTGGAAAGCTACCTGTAGAAAATCAAATTAGCACTTCATAGTGTTAACAGGAACATTAAAATTCATAAAGCTAAAATCCTTTCAAATGTGCATAATAAAGATATCTAGTAAAAACGAATAAAATATACTGTAAGAGCTGGACTGTCCTCAGATATGCACTCGGGCATTGTGCATATGCCCTTGGTTCTAATTTGTTGAGTCACTGGCTGCAATGACTTTCTTAGGCACCAATTCTTTCTTGGCGCCAGTGCTTTCTTTGAACTGAAGAGGCAGACACACAGCTGTTCAAAGTGCAGTTTTCTGATAGAGTGTAATCTGCAAAACCTCATCTTTTTCTTCTTGGACAAATCGAACGAAACCACTTTTTGTTAAATTTGATAGCACAAAATACTTGAATGGTACTTTTTGGCAAACTATGGATCAGATGTTCCCTTGGATCACAGTGGCTTTTTTGAAGCCTCTGAACATTTTCTTAACATTGCCAGTAAGGAATATTCAATGTAATCCTGTCAAAAGGACAAGGCTGAGATGCTGCTCCGGCTCGAAAGCTTTGTAAAAGAGGAAAACCTTAAAGGATGGCTTGTTCCTTTAGGGATGGAATCCATGCATATGGGGCATGCCCTGCAAATCACACTGCATGGAATCAGCAATAGATATTTTGGTGTTGCAAGAGGTGCATGTTTTGGAATCGGACTGTTTCTGTGCCAGAATTGCAGTGCAGTTCCTATAAATGGAGCAGTTCATTGATAAGAATGAAGAACAGAGTAGACTAATACCACATGAAACGTGGAGATGTTTGCCTTGAATTGAACCAACAGTTGGCACTGAGCCATCGGATACCATACAGTGGAAAGTCTAATGTTAACTTTTTAGAACTACCACCAAAAATCTAAAACACAACATAGGGAAATAGCAAAGTAGAAAGCGGTGCTGAAGAGTGTTGGGGATTCCATCTTAATATATGCCTGAGTCCAGTCATTGCATCCTGAAGCCCAATGATTACTGCTTTTCTAGGGGGTTCTTGTCACTGAGAGTGTATTGCAAAACACAAGTATGTCTATACTGGCAATCATCTACAACTACTGTTACTAAGTAACCTTTCTTTTAAGGGTTTCCATCATTAAAACTGTTAAGCAATACAAAAATTGAATCTCTCTTTGCAGTATTGAGATGTGTTGGAGGAGCACTTACCATATCTAACAAGTGGAGCTCTGATCTCTAGGCTCTGTCTAGACCAAGGGTTCTCAAACTGGGGGTCGGGACCTCTTAGGGGGTCACGAGGTTAATACATGGGGAATTGCAGCGGTCAGCCTCCACCCCAAAACCCGCTTCACCTCCAGCATTTATAATAGTGTTAAATATGCAAACAAAGTGTTTAATTTATAAGGGGGGTCGCACTCAAAGGCTTGCTGTGTGAAAGGGGTCACCACTACAAAAGTTTGAGACCACTGCTCTAGACACTACCTTAATAAGATAATTCTTTCCTTTAAATTTCACTTTCAGGTGTGAAGCCCCTTTCAGGAACCTGGTCCTCGGAAGCTATTTCTCTGATGAAACAACTAGTGCAAAATAAAATGATCACTGTAAGAGTGGTGGACAAAAAGGAGAATAGCTCTGTGGTAGAGATTGCAGATGAATCTGTTACTCCAATAATAAATGTATCTAAACATCTTTTAGAATCAGGCCATGCAGTGAAAGATTCCAAGGATGCCTTAACAATAAATGAAACTGTTAACACTGTGAAGGAAGTAAATGGTAAGTACATGAAAAATCGCTATAGAAGCTGGTTTTATCTATACTGCAGTACAATAGATGTACAGTAATCTATTGGGTGATTGAAATGAGTATGGTCAGTTATGTGGCCAAGATTGGGCATTTAGAATGTACATTTTCTTTCCCTATAATGCTGTCTTTTATGTCTCTGACCCTGTTTTCTTCTCTTTCCCCTTCACCCTTTAGCTGTAGGAGAAACAATAAATAAAATAGATTGGACATGGATTAAGCTGACTCTTAAACAGACAGTAAATGTCTTGCTGTGTACGGTGAACAATCCTGGAGACTTCTTCTGTCAGATCTTCAAAGATGATGGTAAGTTGTCTCAGCCTTCATTTTTGTGTGCGCTCTCTGTCTTCTCATCCTTAATCTTGTTGCATATTAACTTGTAAAATATTTTGGAATGGGATAAATGTAGTTTTCATGCACCAATGCTCTTAGTGGACTTTTCATACTTAGAGCTTACGTCTCAGCTTCCTAATTAGTTCATACTAGTCCTGTAGGTCTAAATTTGAACATGCATCTTAATAAGGACAAAGATCAGATATCTAGGGACAAAGAATGTTGGTCACATTTACAAGAGGGGAGATAATATCCTGGATGCAGTGACACTGAAAAGGAATTGAGGGTAATTTTAGATGAACATGAGCTCCCAGTGCAATGCTGTGGCTAGGAGGACTAATACAACCTATAGAGGCCCAAGCAGGGGAATATCAAGTAGGAGTAGGGCTGTATACAGCATTATTAAAACCATTACTGGAATACTGTGTCCAGTTCTGGTGTCAGGACTCTAAAAACATGTTCAAAAATTGGAAAGGATTCAGAAAAGAGGTACAAGAATATTTCAAGTGCTGGAAAAAGTCTTATTGAGCTTAGGTCGAGCTGTCTATTTAGTTTTTCCAAGAGAAAGTTAAGAGGTGACATGGCCTGCAAGGTGCAAGTACCTGCATGGGGAAGAGATTTCTGATAAGTTTTAGTTGGTCAATAAAATATAACAGGACTAGACTTTTATACATGAATTTATTAATACATCTCTACCCCGATATAACACTGTTCTCGGGAGCCAAAAAATCTTACCGCGTTATAGGTGAAACTTCTTCTTCGAGTGCTTGCTCATATCGATTCCAATCAGGTGTGCGCGCGCTGCGTGCACGATCGTCGGAGAATTTTCTACCCTAGCAACACCCGGCGGGTCGGCTGTGGAGCCCCCTAGAGTGGCACCTTCATGGCGCTGGATATATACCCCAGCCGACCCGGCGCCCCCTCAGTTCCTTCTTACCGCCCCTGATGGTCGTTGGAACTGTGGAGCGCGGCATAGCTGTTCTCCACTCTCCCTAGCTTATTCCGTTTTGTAGATAGTTGTAGTTATAGTTGTAGTTGTTATATAGTTAGATAGTTGTTCATTTACTCTATTAATAGTTGTGGATAGTTAAAGGGGATTAAGGGGGTTGTCTTTCCCCCGGCGCATAGCCGGGCTCATGCCCAAGGCTCCCGGCTTTAAGCAGTGCATGTCCTGCGCTAAGCCTATGCCCACAAGTGACCCGCACGACTCATGTCTGAAGTGCCTGGGAGAGTCCCATCAAACAGATAAGTGTAAGATCTGTAAGGCCTTCAGACCGAGAACCAAAAAGGAGCGGGACTTTCGGCTTCGGCAACTCCTCATGGAGGCGGCACTTAGCCCGGGCCGCGGGTGGAGTCGGACAAGCCGCCGCGGCACCGGACCCCTTCGGCACCGCACCCGCCGCAAGTGCCTCGGCGCCAATCGTTATGACCGGGACATAAGAAATCCCGTAAGGCGCAGGAGACTGCCGTCCTGAAGACGCCGGCCCCCCCGGTGCCGGGGGTAGAGCCGCGTCCACCGGTGCAGCACCAAAAGCAGGTGCCTCCGGCGCCGTCGACTCCGGCTCCGAGGCCGTCGAGTCCGGTGCGGATGGGATCACCACCGCGGTCGGTGGTAGAGCCGTGCCTCCCGTCGACCCCAGAGACCTTCGCGACGGCGAGAGACTTGATTGCTCTCACGGAGCCGGCACCGCCCCAACCACTGGCACCGTTGGCCCCTCGTCCGGTGCAATCCAGGGGAAAACCTGCCATGATGCGCCCACCGTCTCAAGGACTGGAACCACGGCACCGATCCAGGTCCCGAAGCAGGTCCCAACGCCGCTTGCAGTCCCGGCGCCGAATATCACCTCGGCACCGGTCGTACTCGCGGCTAAGATCGTCGCGGCACCGTTCTACATCCCGGCACCGTTATGATCGTCGGTACCGTTCGACCTCGAGACGTAGTTCCCGGCACCGATACGAGAGACGCTCGACGTCGAGGGGCCGCTCTCGGCACCGGGCCTACTCGAGATCGCCTTCCAGGTCGGACTCTCGGCACCGACGCAGTTATCGGCACCGATCCCGATCTCGGCACCGCTCACCGGCACCGCATAGAGACCGATCATCTCCAGACCGGCACCGCACGGCACCGTATCTTCCGGAGCTCACCTCGGCGCGGTCGGCACCGCCATGGCCGTCGAGATCAGTGTCTCGCTCCTCCGATGGGGCATCGAGATAGGCATACCCCCCTCAGGGGCAGGCCGATGAACCGGACATGGGCCACTGGCAGGAGGTAGCGGAGGATCCCGCTCAGGGACCTTCGCACTGGTCGTTCTGGACCCCGTGGGCGTACCATCAAGCACAAGGGGCTCCACCACCATCAGCCTCTCGCTCGGTGCACTCTGAGAGAAGGGCCCCAGAGTCCACCATCTCTCGCCCTCCTCCAGGGGGCATGGAGGCTTCCGTGCCCGCACCACCTGACGTCCTGGACCCAGGGGCAGGTGATGCTCCGCTCCAGGGCTCATTGGACCAGGACCCGCCCTTGGATCCCTTGCCACCTGAGGCATCTTCCTCATCTTCCCCAGATGAGGCAGTGGCGGGCACGTCGAGCACAGGTCCACCCCCGATAGATCTCCGGGCACACCAGGACCTATTATGTAGGGTGGCACGTAATATGGACCTACAGGCAGAGGAGATAGTGGAGGTGCAGGACCCCATTGTGAACATCCTCTCTGCGGATGCCCCATCCAGAGTGGCGTTGCCCCTGATCCGC